GTGTGTGTGTGTGTGTGTGTGTGTGTGTGTGTGTGTGTGTGTGTGTGAGAGAGAGAGAGAGAGAGAGAAATAATGAGAGAACAACAAAGAGACAGAATGACAAAGACAGTCCCAGTCAGTATCATTACACAGTGTCACGCGTTGCCACAGCTGATTATAAGTCCTTTGGAAAAAGGTCTGTCCAAGTTAGAGTTAGGGTTAGGGATGATGCTGACGATGAGACGGGTGTGCTGAGGCTACACCGGCAAGATGTCAGGCGTGCAAAAAACAAAATATAACGTACAACGTTGCCAGGAAAATATAATTTAAATGAAGTGTGCGTTGTCGCATTTCAATCAGGAGAGACAAGTAAAGAAAAGATAATTGTTTATTATTAACAGATGATATGTGATGATAAAGTCACCTATCATCAAAGATGCAAGAGTACAGTATAATCTTCCTGCCTGAACTTACGCTAGAGCTTCATATGACGTGTATGATATGAATAAGTGCTTTGTTACAGTTCATTTTTGTATATCTCCAGTACAGGTGGTGAACTAATGTCGGTCTGAGGCATGAAACTCCCCGCCTGAATATGAATCCGGAAGCTGTTATTAATAGCCTCCATACACAAACGAAAGTTATTCGCCTTGATTCGCGAGCGAGGACACTGAAACAAAAAGCCGGTGTTGCAGGTTTTGTAAGTATTACAGGTGTGGGCTTTACAGCTTCTCTTTTAGGTTGCACATAAAGAAACACACACAATGCCGCCCTTAGTACCGACTCGACTTCACTGTGTTTACAGACGTGTATAAACCTAAGTAACCTTTTCTAGAGCAGGAGAACACATTCAGCTGTCAAAACCTCACTCTTTAAGTCTCTCTAAGCGGGAGGGAAGGGAGTAAAGATGTTTACCTCAAACTATTCTCCCTGCACAGCAGTTATTCTTTCTAGGAAGAACTGGTTAAAAAATAATAACATCTGTGCAATCTGTATCTGGCATCTAAAGACTCTGTTTCTAAGAACCGAACAATGAGAAGGTTTTGGCTGAGTCACTCTTGCAGACTCTGTTTTCTAGGAAAGAAATGCTTTGGGCATGGACGGTTTGTTTCTAAACCTCACATTTAGGGATTAACTTGGAATTTTCTGCTCAACTATTCCAACAATCCGCGCTGACGTGAAATGGTCCACTATGTTGCCACTGAATCCCTGAGAGGCGGTCGGAGGTGTAATTCTAGAAAACCACAAAAACTAAATCTCGGACAGTGTGAGCTGAGAGTTCCTGGAAGCCTGTTTATGCAAATGTTCCAAAAAAAGTGAAAAGTCAGACGTTTCTGCTTTTAAGCTCGGGGAGAGCTTAAACACATTATCCATTAGAGAGAAAATAGAAAGCAGCTGCGTCCTGGATGAAAACTACAAAATAATTGCGTCCATGTTTTGAGTTGTTTTTTTCCATTTTGGAAGTATGAAAAAAAATGCACCCGTCTAAGATATGCTGTTCTGTATATTTGTGCTTGTGGATGTATTAAAGGTGTTGACAGTTTATGTTGGTATTCTGTGATTTTAGAAAATGGAGCATGCTTCAAACACGTTTTTGGTGGATAATTCCAATAACCCCTATGTGATGCCCCGACATGGGTCTTTACAAAGTGGGACAAAGGTTTGCTGTGTGTGTGTGTGTGTGTGTGTGTGATGCTATGTTCTCGTACACTTAACCTAATGAAATTCCTGCCGTTGAGGTGATCATTTTTTCGGGGATTATGAGCTTTCAGTGCTGTTTTAAATCACTGTTGACAACCTCCTTCCCCCTCAGGACATTCTGTATGTGTGCATATTTGAACAAAGAGAGAGAGGAGAGGAAAGAAACGCTCTACTCTTTAAACCTTTCTGCATGTGTGGGGTCCAGCGTTGACGGTCTGATGTGTGTGTGTGTGTGTGTGCTGTATGAAAGGAATTCATGTGTAAATGTGTGTATTGTTTGTGGAGTGTATTTTCCATTCATGCCGACGGGTAACTTCTTGCTTTCCCTGTCGTTCGCTCTTCAAAGCCAACAGCCGCACATTCCTGTCTCCTCACTTTTACAAAAGGCCATTCACCCTTTTAATCTAATCTTTTTACGTGTCCACCACATTTTCAATACTGCTGGCAATATGGTATGTAAGTTAGAGTCAGGCTACGCTTGTTTTACACATGGACTGTGTATAAGACGTGGACCATCGTCACCCATTGCTTTGTGGACTACAAGCCTCGTGTCTTGCTCAAATCAATACACTCACAGGTTTTGCCGATTCAGCCTAACTGGTATGAGCAGTAGCTTAAGGTGGCTAATGTTAGCAAACTTTGGACAGATTCTGCTGTATCCGTGGATGGGCTGAGTCACTTCACTGACTCGATAACTCTTCCCAGCAAAGTACAAAACATATATTTTACTCACCCGTATTTTAGCCACGCAGATAGTTTTAACTTTATCTGTCCAGGTTTTCAGATATCCGTATCCAACACTCCTGGAATGACTTTGGCCGGTCTCCTGTGCACATGGCATCTTTGGGTCCCTGTTTTAGAGAGCCCTAAACTCCCGACAGTGGAGCCTCAGTGCTTTTATGAGAAGACGCTTGACCTCAGTTTAACTTAACAGAAATACAGCAGACTGTTTTTGTTGAGCAAACATGCACAAATAGACACACGTTGGTGTGCATCAGTTTGGTCATTCATATCGAGTCACAGACAGGGACCAGACCAACTTTAAATGTGGTAACACTCGGACACTCGGACAATATTTGCCTGGTTTTCAGTGTGATGGTTCATTTGGTATTCCAGTATTTTTACAACCTAGATTCGGTGGAGGTGGAGAATAGTGGGAGAAAGAGACAGGCTGGAAAGAGAGAGAGAGAGAGGGGGGGGGGGGGGGGGGGGGGGGGGGGGGGGGGGGGGGGGG